ACCTAAATGCTATACAATCTATGCACACTACCATTTCTTCAAACTGTTACCAAAGTATGCCTCCCCAAGATAATTCATTAAATTGTAACTTTCTATATTTAGCCTCATATTTTGTAATGGCTGCCAGGCATCTGTACTTGAACTTTCCAAAGATATCACAGAATGAGTGTGCTTGCTACAGTTTGAATATTTGTGCCATTAAAGCTCTTATATTGACCTCCTAACCCCCAAGGTAATGGCATTATGAGGTGAGGCCTTTTGTGAGGTGATTAGGTCATAAGGGTGGAGCACTTATGAATGGCATTAGTGCCTCAAGGACTGCCTTGCCCCTTCCACTGTTTGAGGACAGAACTAGAAGATACCATCTGTGAACGGGGAAACAGGTCATCAGACACTGAGTCAGCCAACACCTTGATGTGAGAAGTAAATTTCTATTGTTTATAAGCTACTTAGTTTGTGGTATTTTGTCACAGCATTCTGAACAGACTAAGGTGGTATTCAATCTCTAAAATTCCTTTTATTTCATGAACAATATATGTTCATGTCCTTTTCAATCCTGTTTTGTAATCACCTCCTAACAGGTCTCCCAATACCAGCAGTTCTCAGAGTGTGACACCAGAACATCTAAGGATTTCTGAGACCCTTCAGGCACACACAAGGTCAAAATTATTCTTATAACACTAAGACATTATTTTCCCTTTTCACCATGTTGACTTTTGTCCTAATAGTGAAAAAAATAATTGTTGGAAAACTGCCTGCAACTTAGCACAAATAGGGCAGTGACAACAAACCATGCTAGACTATGTTGTACTCTTCACCACTCACCACTGTACACTGCAGGTTTAAATGTTTAAAAGCCAGTTTCAAGGATGCAAAGATGATTCAACATATAGAAATTGATAAGTGTAGCACATCATAAAAGAATGAAGGATAAAAACTGTATGGTCATCTCAATAAATACAGAAAAGACATTTGATATTCAATATACCTTTATGAAAACAATATAACAAGTCCACAGCTAACATCATAGCAAATGAGGAAAGGTTGAAATCTTTCTCACTAAGATCTGGAACAAGTCAGGGATGCCCACTTTTACTACTATATTCATCACAATAGTGGAACAGAATACTGGACACAGTACTGAACACAATACTGGAAGTCCTAGCCAAAGTAATCAAGCAAGAAAAACAAACAAAAGACCTACAAGAAAAGTGGCAGTCAAATGGTCGGTTTGCAGATGACATGAATAAATATATATATATAAATCCCCAAAGACCTCTCCAAAAAGTTATTACAACTCTTAAATAATTCAACAAAGTTGCATGATAAAAAAATCAACATACAAAAATCACTAATACTGCTATCAGCTAATAATAAATTATCCCATCAAAATAGCTCTGTTCCTTTTGAACACATTTATACCATTGTTCTTAGTACTTTCTAAAGTAGCTCTGGAAATCCTCTTTTGTGAATGTCTTTACAAGGTCTGATCCAAAATACAATGAATGCTGCTGCTGAGTGCCACCCAACAGAAAGATACATCCACAAAAACATTGAATTGTGCCCTCATCCACCTTATTCACTTCATCTGGCATTGTATGACTTCTGAATTTTTCTCTGAAATCAAGATGACCATGAAAGGTAAATATTTTGAAATGATTCAGGACATCGAGTTAGCTACAACAAAACAATTAAAAACACTCAAGAGAGAAGATTTCCAAAACTGCCTTCACAAAGTAGCAATAATGATGGGCTATGTGTGTTTGAATAGAGAGGGAGTATTTTGAAATGGAGTGAGGGTTATGTGTTTTTTACTTCAGTAATTTAAAAAATTTAATTTATTAAAATAAGTTTTAATTTAAACATTCACTGTATATTTTGATCACACCTCATAGACAAAAGATATTTTATCAAACTAAAAAGCTTCTCTGCACAACAAATGAAACAAACACCAGAGTGAAAAGATAACCCACTGAGCACTCGGGAGGCTGAAGCAGGAGGATCGCTGTGAGTTCAAGGCCAGCCTGAACTAATACCGAGACTGTCTCAAAAATAAAAAAATTTTTAAAAAAAGGATGACCCACTGAATGGGAGAAAATATTTCCCAACCATACATCTGACAACATACATCTCCCAAATATGTAACTAACTCCAAAAAACTCAATAGGAAAGCAACAGCCACAATAATCCTAATAAAAAAATGAACAATATATTTAAAGAGGCATTTTTCAAAAGAAGACATATTGAAGAATGCTCAATATCATTAATCATCAGGGAAATGCAAATCAAAATCCTAATATCATTTCACTCCAGTAAGAATAGTCTTACCAAAAATACAAAATACAGGGCTGGGAATTTAGCTCAGTGGTTCTGCCGCCTGCCTCACAAGTGCAAGGTCCCAAGTTCCATCCCTGGTACCAAAAAAATACAAAATACAAAAATATAATAAGTGCTGGAGAGGACATGGAGAAAAGGGAACTCTTGCACACTCTTGGTGGGAATGTTACAGCCATTATGGAAAAAACAGTGTGGAGTTATCTCATAAAATTAAAAACAGAACTACCATATTATCTAACACTTCCATTATTGGGTATATTCCCAAAGGAAATGAAGTCAGTATAAAGAAAATATCTGCACTCCTGTGTTTATTACAACACTATTTATAATACTAAGACATGGTAACAACCTAAACATCCAACAACTGACGAGTGGATAAAAAATGTGGCACATACACACAATGGAATACTGTTTAGACATTAAAAATGAAATCCTGTCATTTGAAACAACATGGATGAAAGTGGAGATAATTATGTTAAGTGAAATAATCCAGGCACAGAAAGACAAGTACAGTGTGATCTCACTCGTAGAAATTGAAGGTAAAAAAGTGGCTACCAGAGGCTGGGGAGAGTAAGAGGAAGGGAGGATAAGGAAAGGCTGACCCGTGGTTATTGTGTTATAGTTAGGGATAAATAGTTCTGCTATTCTATTACACAGTAAGGTGACAATAGATAATAATATTATCTTGTGTATTACAGAAAGTTGGAAGAAAAGATTTTGAATGTTTTCACCATGGGAAATAGTAAATGTTTGAGGAGAAAGATTTATGTCTACCATCATCTAAACATTATATAATGTATATACATATCAAAACACATGGTAACCATAAATAAATACATATCTTTGATGAAGCAGTAAAATGTATCAATTTTTTCAAATCTTGACTTTTTTAGGTACTGGGTATTGAACCCAGGATCTTCTAACTGAGCCTGATCTCCAGTTCTTTTTTAATATTTTTATTTTGAGACAGAGTCTCTCTAAATCACTAAGTTGCCCAGGCTGAGCTCAAAAACTAAAATCGTAACTCTTAAACTTATACCCCTTAAATATTCTGTGAGTTGAAATATGTTAAGCTCTTCCAATATATTGAAATAATGCTTATCTCGAAGAAAAGCAATTGTGTTTTTAGTTATAAGCTAAACTAGTCAATTTTTTCATAGAAAATTAGAAAAAGATATGAGAATATTAGTTAATTAGAATATAGAAAAATTAAAATATTAGAAATCTTGTACCTGGCATGTGAGCCAGATTGCTTATCAATACCTACAGATTTTTCTGTTGAGATCTGTGATAATAACAAGTGTGATTTTTTTGTATTAATATGTCAACATTTTGAAGATCTACATAACTTGGAGAACCAATATTTTCTAAATGGCCAGTACACAATGTTAAAAAATAAGACTTGGGAAAAAGAATTATAGACCCATGGATTTTAATGCACTATAGCTATGTATTTATATGGCCTCAGATTCTACATTGCAAGTAAAATTTATGAAACTACTATTTATTGAGTTTTGATTTATTAGCAAAGACTATCAGGCACCTTAAGCTTAGGGCTTCTGAGCTGTCACACAAATACACTGCATGCAGAACATCCACCTACACCTTTTTATCTCCCTACCATGAGGCTTGGGGAGCAAATGTAACCAATGCAAAGAAGTTTGTACTGATCTCTGTGCTGTGACTAAAGGCCCAGGAATTTTTGTCTTCGGCTAGTATCCAGAAGACTGTGAAAGACTAATTGTTGGTCTGGAAGTGAGGTAAAAATCTGACTCTTCACAGTACTTGACAGATAGCAAATGATGAAAAAATATTTTATCTAAGTGAAGTGATCAAATGAGACTTTCTTGGGGAATATATTAAAGTGACTGGACAAGAGATGGTCTGAGTAAGACTATTATCTACAGGTAATGACTATCCACAGAAGGTGTTTTAGCACAATCATGATGTGACAAGAATTGTTACCTTAATAAAATCAATCTGAATGTTATGCCAATTATCAATGTAAGCTGGAACTTGAATGAATGCTTACTGCGAAGAAGACATTGAGGTAAGTACTCTATTTAATACCTATTACAATTGAACAATATAATACTACTACTAATATATATATGTCACTTGTTATGTGAACATTTTTAAATATATGACCTCACTAAATGAGCATAACAATAAGTCCAATATTAAGGTCCAGTGTCTAATGAAAGCATTCTTCCTGATTTATATAGTCATATTCTCCTTGTATCTTCACTTGGTGGAGAAAGCAAACTTCTGCCCTTCTTATAAGAACAAGATCCCCAACTCATACCTCCTCTAAATCTAATTAAATCCCCAAAGTCCCACCTCCTAATACTATCCTACAGGGTGCGAGATGGAGGGGTTCACATATGAAATTTGGGAGAGGACACAAACATCTAGTCTGCAATATTATCATTTTTTACATAAGGAAACTAATGCTTCTAAAAACTAAAGATTAAGAAACTTATTTAATAAACAACAAACCATAAACACATAAATGATAGAGGAAAGATTTGCTATGGGAAGTCCTTCTCCCAAAGATAGTGTCCTTAACCATTATCCTATCCCGCCTCTTAGGTAAGGTATATAGTATTCCTCTACCCATTTTAAATTTATGCAACAAAACGTAGCAAAATCAAGGCACTTACCCCAAGTCATAAATCCAGTAATCAGTAATACTAGGAGTACTCTGGTAAATATAAAAAGAAAGATTGCACAGTCAATTATATAAATTTAATTTGTAAACTTATTTTTGTTTTTTTCAACTAATCTATTTGTGATTCAGAAAGCAAGGAATTTCTTTGGCAGTTATTAGAGAGATGGCCTGAATCAGACTCAGCTGGAGCCTGCAGTCGTTATCCTGGTGATGAAAATAGGCAAGTGAGGTAAGCAAGGCTTTATACACCGGATGGACTTACTTACCTTAAGCCTCTGACCAAAAGTGCAAGCAACTGGACTCAAAACTCCAGGACAGCAACAAATGGAGCCAGGGCCTTGTGCCACGTAGTCTTACTTGAGTCATTTCCTTCACTCTATGATTAATCTCTATGAGCAGTAAGGTGATATGCTAGTATAACCCAAGTCAATTGTCCACTTGGGGAGTATACCAAGAGCAAGTTGGAATGACTGATAGTCCCATCTAAACCATGTGATTGTAGTTGGAGAAGAGCTATCCTTACTAAAGAGGTAGGCAGACAAGGAAAACAATGGTTTTAGGCAAACAGACGCAACATGTGAGTAGGGACCTTTTTTTTATTAGATTGGCACCCTTTCCACTTGCAACACATTTTGGAATTCAGTACATAATTTCATTCATTTCAATGCTGGGTTTCATTGACTTATTTATGTACATCTTGTGTTCCCTCAATGAGGAATTCAGTGAGACAATAATCTTCTTGAGGAAAAGGGCTGAACTCATACATCTTCTGAATATTTCCATATACTTAATAAATTCCTGTTAAAAAAACTCCAACCAACGTAGTTTGCCACACTATAATGTGAAAAAACTTGGTTTGTGGCAGCAGTTTTAGGGAGAGTGTCATTGTTTGATTTTCTTCCCCCTTTGATCCATAGTTGGCCTGAAGTTTTTGTTCCTAAGGAAATGCTCCCAACAGTGCTTTGTCCTAGCACTAACAGCTCACTGTTTCTAATAGCTCGATGTAGCTGAATAAAATTGCCAATTGAATTCTTGGTTTGGGGCTGGTTTTGAGGGTAATTGGGTGGTGGTTTTGTTGTATTTTGTTTATGTTTTTGTTTTGGGATTGAGATCTTACTATGTTTCTCAGGCTGTCTTCAGTTTTTGGGCTCAAGTGATCCTCCTGTCTTAGCAGAGAGAGAGAGAGACAGAGAGAGACAGAGAGTTGAAGAGGCTGAGGGGTCTGGGGAGATTAAGAGATATACCCAAGCTCATGACCCTTGTATATTATAGTCATAGCTCCCAACCAGGTCTATCTGACTTCAAAGTCCACCCTATTAATTTCACTATTTGGCCAGAAAATCATGCCCTAATTACATCCCTAACTGTTGTACAGTTAATTTTCCTTTGCAAGACACTGGTATGCATTCAGCCCAAGCAGAAATGTTCACCTCCTATCATAGTGACACTTTCTGCTCCACACGTTCAGCATGGAATTTCCAAACATTCAAAATAATCTGCACATTAAGCCACTTGTTTAGAGAAGTACTCATCTTGAACACTTTGGGCTGTCAAGAACCAGGAGCAAATTTCTTTTCTCATGATACAGAAATGATTTTCTAAAATTATCTTGAGCAACAAAATCACAACAAAGAGTTTGGATGGTGAGTGTAGAAACTTTTTAAATTTTGTTTGTTTATTTTATTCAAAAAACTTAATTTGGGGCAGAAATCAAAGAAGGCCAGCCTCAGCCAGGATCTGAAAGCAATAATCTCCTGGCAGCTGACAGTCTTGTGCCCATTGGTTACGTGTCAACACCTCTCCTGGTAGCAATGTCCTTAGTGTCACCAAGAAAGACAAAGGAAAAAAAATCTTATCTCAGCCAGAGCCCAGCAGGGGTAACTAAAGAGAATGGCAAAATGATGTCAGTAAGCATAATATCTGTGGGCAAGAAGGGAATCCCGTGTTCTAAACACAACGCTCCATTTTTTATTTCAATATAATCACTGTGGAATCATCTGAGGTTATGTCTTCCCTTTCATAAGTTGAGTAAACATATTCTGAATCCAACAAGAGTATATCACGGAGAGAAATAATTTCCTAAACTTTGCTCTGGAACTCAAGGGCCAAAAGAGTGTGAACAGTGCATTTTTCAGGGCTTTCTCCTCTCTTTCTTTTCTGTTCTCTAAGAAGTTAGCATGCACCAACTAATATTATGAGTATACCTGGATACTCCTGAGGAAGAGGATTTAAAAAAACAAAAAGAAAGGAAATAAATTTAAGTTAGAATTCTCTTGACTTCATCCACTGGTTAAAAAATACTCTTCTTATTTAATTGGTGTCAATTAACACTCTTGCTGTGAATGAAATGTTCTGTGATAGCATAAAGAAATGTACAAATACTGACGTGTATACGTAAAAGTTTTTATATGGGCTCTTTATATACTTTGTGCATCTGAATATTCAACTCTGTAGAACAGAGTGTGGGTTGATTTTAGGTTTTCAAAAGGAGGGAAAATTCTTTTCTGTATGGTTTTTGGTTTTGAAAATCCCATATACAACAGTAACAATAAGAGAAAAAATCATAATAAATAAACACAATAAAATTTTCAAGATTTATTTGAAGAAAAAAATTAGAGCATTAAAAAAAGGAACCAAAAAAGACTTAGATAGGCATACCATGTCTTTGGGTAGGAGCACACATTATAATAAGAACACCAAGTTTCTCAACCACAATTTATACAACCCTGATGATCTTGTTAACATTACTATAGGATTTTTTTCAACTGGGCAAGCTGATTCCAAAGGTTAAATATAAAATAAACATGCAAAAACATTAGGACAATTCTGAAAAACAGATTAAAAAAAGGAACTCAATGTATTAGAAATGTAAAGCATATTACAAAGCTATAATAATTAAAACAATTTCTACCTGTACATGATTAAACAGAGAGATTACAGGTCTATAATCTGCATCATACCACTATAGAAAGCTCAGAATTAGACCTAAATATAATAAAATTTTAATCTGTAGCAAAGTGGCATTACAAATTGTTGGGAAAAGGTGGACTTATAAATGTTTGAAAAGCAGGTAGTAACCTAGAAAACAAGTTTATCCTATCTGTAGTTCCTTTACACACAACATGTTTCAGTTGAATCAATTTTAAAATCTCAGAAATTGAATATTAAAGTTATAGAAGAAACTGTGGTGAGTTTTTAGAAAATTAGATCTTCGAGTGTGTGACACTTTTTATATTTGACTCAAAACCTTATAGAACAAGTAAATACAAATAAAAGAAAGTAAAAACAAATAAAAGAAAGTAAAAATGTCTGCATAACAAAATCTATCATTAGCAAAGTGCAAAGACAAATGACAGATTTGGAAAATATGTTTTCAATAAGTATCACAAAGAGAGTATATTAAGAGATCAAACAAATCAAAGCTAAGCTATTCATCCAATAGGAAAAAATAGGTAAGAGTATAAATAAACAGATCATAGAAAAGATATTAAATGAGAGAAATGCAAATAACCTCTACAATGAAATTTCATTTTCCAACCAGCAGATAGGCCAAGATCCAAAATTTTATTGCACACTGTCGACAAGTACATTTAGAACAGGCACTTGTATGCAAGTTGACAGGAAAGGGCATTGATAAAAACTCTTTAGAGTGTGATTTAGCAATGTCTATCAAAATTACAAGTATGCACACTCTTCAACCTGCCATACATTCCAAGATTATTCTACAGATTTACTCACATATGTGTGGAATATGAAACCATATATGTTATATATTACCACATTTTTTCATAGCAAACTATGGACACAGCTTAATATCCTTCAGTAGAGGTGGATAAAATTGCTTACTTTATATAACTCCAAACACCAAAAAAAGGAAACAATATATCTATAGCATATATATGATGATCCTAAATCCCAATTTCAAGAGTGATGTGTCTTATACTCATTGTCATGGCCCCTCCAGTTGGCATTGCTTATTACTCCTAAATGTGCCTCATGTGTATGATTGTATGATCAATAATTTGGTTACTACCATAGACTGGATATTTGTATCTCCCCAAAATTCACATGCTGAAAGTTTAACCCACCATGTGATAGCCTTAAGGTGGTAAAACATTTGGGAGGTAATGAAATTGTAAGGCAGAAGCCATCGTAAGTGGGACAAGTGTTCTTATTAAAGGAACCCCAAACGGCTCTCTCAAATTTCTTTCTGTCAAGCGAAGATACAGCAGAAAGTGAGCAATCTATAAACCCAGAGAAAAGTGTTTTAGTCTGTTTTTTATTGCTGGAACAAAATACCTGGCACATAGAACTTAAAGGGGGAGAAGTTTCCTTTGGCCCACAGTTTAAGCAGTTAAGTTCATGGTGGGCTGATTCCAAGGCAGAAACATCATGGTGGAAGGGTATGATGGAGCAAAGCTGCTCACTCCGTGGCAGTCAGGAAGCAGAAATGGTTGGAAAGAGACAAAGAGGGAAGGGACAGGGGATGAGAATATTAAAGTTAAGCCACCAATGACCTACTTCCTCCAATCAGCACCACCTCCTAACCTCGTATTCAGTCATGAAATCATCTATGGATTAATCTATTAATGAGGCTAGTGCCCCTAATGATCTAACCACTTTCAAAAGCCTTATATCTAAGCACATAAGTCTTTTAGGGAACATTTTAATACCATAACAAAAGTTCTCATCAGAAGCCAACCATGCTGGCCCCGGATCTCAAACTTCTAGTCTCCAGAACTTTAAGAAATGTGTCTCTGTTGTTGATAAGCCACTCAGTCTCTAACTTGTTGTAGCAGTCCAAACTAAGATAATCACCCTAGGTACATGCCTTGGAAGTGAGGGAAAGATTAGAGTGTTCCCTGGAGGAGGGTATGAGGTTAGATGAAGAAAAAAAGGAAGGGAAATATCAACTTGATGTCAAGCTTATACTATTTAATTCTTTTCCTTTTGACCTCCTGGAAGCTGCAAGCTATAAATGTTAAGTTTCTGGAGCCAGACAGCTTGAGTCCAAATGCTAGCTATCCTGTTTACAAGCCATAAGTTTTTAAACTTTTTCTGCCACAGGTCTTCCTCTGTATTCTAGGGACACTAGTAACTATCTCATAGGCTTATTGTGAGGATTAAATGAGCTATATACATAAATCATTCAAATCAGAATCTAACACCTGCAAAGCACTATTGATGTAGTAACCATTACTGTGATCCATTGTGCTTCTGTGTGGCTACAGTATCTAGCCCTTAACAACGTCAATGCATAATGAAAGCTTTACCCACTAAAAAAAAGGACTATTAAGATTTGTATGTAAACTGTATTCACTCATTTAATAATTTTACATTGAGCACTTATAATTAAGGCTCTGAGTTAAGCTTTAGAGGAATAAAATTCTATAAGACCCAAGGCAACTAAGGCAAATTGTAAAGCCCACATGTATAAGCTAAAAGTATTTGTTTTCTTATGAATTATTAAGTATAACTTTTTAATTTTGATTAAATTCATCAAAAATGGCCTAGTTTCAAATCAATTTGTTAACTTCTTGGATATCTGGCAATCTTAAACTTCAAATAAAATAAAAACTATTAATATAGGCCAGTTAGCTAACACTGAATAACAAATCGCACTTAAATACCTGGTCAAGAACAAGGCCTTTGTACCAGGTAGGTTTAGGTTTGAAAATGGTTCTTGCCACCTTCCAAGCATAACCATGGGCATGATATCTAAATTTTCTATCCATTAATTCTCCATGTTTAGTAAAAGTAGTATTAATTATCTATTTCAAATGTAATTATAAGTGCTAAATATAAGACATTCACCTAGAACATCACATAGGATAATGCACAATAAATATTTCAACATTGTTATCATTTCTCTGACTTTAAATAAACAATATTTATTTTTCTATTTATATTACATCTTACCCACTTGACTTATCTTAATTTTTCTCCAAGCAAATGAGACAATAGGTCATTTATTCTTCTTTGAATATCAAATATCTTCTTTTGTCTCTTTAGCTTTCTTTTTCTATTTTATGAAAAATAAAATGCAATTTCATAACTAAATGAGAGAAAAACAATATAAATACACTGTGTATCACTATCTTCAAAGTAGTTACTCAGAGTACGACATAAACCAAAAAGATTCTTATAAAAAAGAAACAGATAATAACACAAAACTTAGTTTGTTGATTAGAATTGTAAATGTTTTCTAAAACATATTTTGAAAAAACTCACTGCTGTTTCTCTGAAAAGGAACATAAGCCAACGCTCCTTCAAAGTCGCACAGCCATCTCTTTGTTTAGGTGATCTCCAGACTTCCTATTTAGGCAAGGCCTTGATCTAGAAGACATACTTTTTCTAATTCTGCTCTGAGGACACAGCATGAGTGATCCAGCTATAAACAGACTCCCTCCACCTCCTTCACAGACCATGTTTCCGTGGGATGAGGACCCAGTCGGTGGGAACTGACTTGTAAAAGCCAACTTGGCACTACTTCTTTCTGCACACATTTGCTGAACGAAAAGTTTTCAGCTGTGTGCCATCTCCCTCACATTTATATTCTAAGCCAAAAGAAAGGTTTCGGCTGGTTATCTGTATTTATAAGCATTTGATTTGTTATTTCAGAGTACTAAGATTGAAAATAATTTAAATAACAGGTATTCATATTTAAAAGGAAACCGGTGAATTGCTGATATATTCACTAAAGTGAATCTTAGGACTTCAAAGTGTCAGAACTAGTGGAGGAATAAAGCATGTTTGAGAATAAAAAGATTAACTAAGACCTGAACTCTAAGGCAGGTATTTTTAGGGATCTTTGGTAGTATTTTAATGTCAGTTTAAGAAACAAAGTGTTTGTTGCTTATAGTTGCTAGGCGACATGTTGGCTTTGATTTGGCCTCCCAGACTTTTTTCAAACAGTGCTATGATTATAACAGCAATAAAACAGCATCATCTTTTCTCAATTCAATATTAAAATACTTAAGAACAGTTAGCTTTGATAAGGTCATTATTACTTAACAGATTTTTCTTCCTTTCTTTTTTCTCTATCTTTATGACAAAATCCTGGAACCATGTAATGTACTCTTAAAAAAATAACTTATGTTTCAGTGGTGCATTAGGCTGAATTTTTATTTTAAAATAAGCATTCACATAAAATTCAAGGTACTAAACTTTGCAGCCTTCTCTCTTGAATTTCTCTACACTAGGATTATCATATTCCTGAGTCAGTAATGTATTCTCTAAGAAGGCATGGGAATAATGTGTACCTTAGATAGATTTCTCATTCAAAGGAGTTAAAAGATTTTGTTGAAGCAATGTATTGTTGAAGTTATGTATATATATATATATATATATATATCTTTTTTTGTACTTTGAAATAGTCTCACTATGTAGTTCAAGCTAACCTTAAATTCACTATGTAGCCCAGGCTTGCCTCAAACTCTCAGCAATCCTCCTGCCTCAGCCTCCCAAGGGCTGGAATTACAGGCATGTGCCACCACACCTAGTTTATATATATAATTTTATACAGTAACTTAATATTTTAATCAAACTGGAAATATTAGACATCACTAATGTATTTTTGTGAGTTTATAACATATATTTTTATGTATTAGGTTAGATGAAGAGAAATAACTTCCTCCTCTTAGTTTTTTTTCCTCCTTGGTTTCCCTATCCAAAAGATAATGCCATCATAATATTTTCCCTTAACCTATGAATCATGCCCAGAATGGCATATACCATAGTCCATCAGTGTTAACAGAGTTGCATCATCAGAACACAAATAATAGGATCATTTGCACAATGCAATATAAACTTCCATTTTAGTGCTACAGTGTCAGAAATTCAACACTCGTGAACTCATTTCCTATGTAAAGCATTCTAAATGAGAGTTATTGGCCCTTTGTATAGATGAGAAAATAGGAGTCTGGGAACCACGTAGACTAGAATACTTCTACCTAAAGGCACATACTAACAAGCTGAAGAGTCAGGATTGAACCCAGTTTATCTAGTTCTCAAATAAACTCTCTGCTATACCAAGTCTACATATTTCAGTGTAATTTATTTTAAAGTTCAATATACATAGACTTGGAGAAAGTAAGTTTCTCATTTCAGTCTTCATAAAGAATGGGAAAAATACAATGAAAGTGAGAAAGCTTCCATCCGACCAAGTCCCAGAAAGCAGTGCTGCAACAGAGCAACAAGAATTATGAAATGAAGCAGGAAGATCATGAAGTCCAGGCCAGCTTGTGATACCTAGAAAGTTCAAGTCCAGCCAGGAACATAGCAAACTGTCTAAAAAATAAATCACCTTAGAAAAACAAGAATTATGGAGTGAACACATTCTGTTCATTATGAGACAAGAGACAATGGACAACACTTTTCTTTCACCTCAATGCCAAGGCACAGTACAAAAATCCCTCCTGCCTCGTGAGAAAACATGTAGAATAAGGAGTTTTAACAAAGAAAAATGCATCTCGTTCCTCCCAGGGAAAGGAGCTCTTAGGCATCTTATAGAGCTGTTCTCTGAAAGCTCCAAGCGAACAGAAACTGTGGGGCAGCACCTGGCATAGCACCCAGCATATATGATGAACTCAATAAATACTTTTAAACAGTGAGCTCCAACCTGTATAGTCTCAGTAAGTGTAGAGATGCTGACAATCCTAATTAGGAAGGGAGCTGCAAAATACAGTTGGTACTGACTACAATTGAAAAGATGAAATCTAAACAAGCGCCGACTGGAAAGACTGACTGGTAATCCTCTGTAAGTGAGAAGGAGGTGGGGATATTCCTAACAATGTAAAGTAATCATTTTGGCATAAAGAACAGAAGATGAATTCGCATGGAGCATACCAGACAGTCAGTGAGAGACAGAGAATCAGTGGGGAATAAATTTAGGAAAGAATAATAAAAAATAAGTCAGAGAACAAGAAGAAATGAAATGTCATTTCACTTAATCACACACCTTTGTGAGGATTTTGCCAGTGGTGTGTGGGAAACATTGGAAATTACTGCTATAAAATACATAGCATATGACATAATAATGATAATCTTAAAATAATATTGAAGTTAAAATTTATTGAGAACTTCCACAAGTATTTTAAACAAATTCATTCAACATTTTAATCCTAACAATAACCCTATGGATATACTACTACTATTATTCCCATTTCTGCAGATAAATAGAAATTGAAAAAAGGAAAGCAATGTCCTCAAGGTGAAAAATTAGTTAAGTCAAAAGCCAAGTTTCTAAGTCAAGCTATAGGGCTTCAGGGTCCAGGTTCATAATCACAGAACCATAGTACTCAGTCAATGTAAGCAGCATATAGTCTATTCTTCAGGGTGGTTTTAGTCATTGTTACCCATTCTATTGTTATTACAAAGTTCTGAGCTTAAAAGAATTAATCCCTTTCAGCTGTCCCCACTTGACATTTGGTACATTAATTTGGTGGCCATAACTTCTATCCACTCCCTACCTTAATATTTGGAACTTGCCCCTTGTCCATGACGACAGGGCCTGAATATAGACCAGAGGCAAGAAGCTATTGCATCTAAAGTCATAACATTTAATGAGCCTTTAAAATGACTTAACCTGCTTCTGCTTCTCCTTCATTGCTACTGATAATTATACCATATTTAAAGTCATGCCTACTCAAATTTTGCTAGGCTCCAGGGGTTTTAAAGGATAAATACAGAGACAGATTATAACCTGTCTCATTTTGGGATCATCTTCTTTGCTTTGACAACCAGACTTCTGGCTTAAAGACTTGAGTTAAGGTTTTGATTCTATGCTCTCTTGTAGGTTTGTTACAATCACTAATTTTGTGTGTTTAGAGGTTTTTTTATTGTTTGGTTTGCTTTCCTTTTTTAATATCTCCTGCTCACATATGATCCATTCTCCCATTTTGGCAGCAGTATAGGCCATTTAGAACAAAGAAAAATGTTAAAAATTTTTGGCTTTTGTTTCTAGAACCTAGGCTTTAGAACATCAAAAAAGACTAAATGAGGCACTTAGGGCAGGACATCATAGAGAAATAAGAGGTCTCTCATTGTTGTATCCCCATGGCAACACTAATTTGGTAACAATCTATGAACTAAAGTGTCTTTGTGGGAGCTTTGGGACCCAGACAGGACATTGAAAAACTCAATAGAGCTCAAAACCAAGGAAACAGCCTTGTGGGCTGGCTCCAGACATGCTCCACCTCAGTCCCAGAGGCAGCCATCCACACATCCACTCAAGATCTCAGTAGGAGAGTCACACATTCACACCCCAGAAAACAGGCCCACTGTCTGCAGATTGAATTGCAGGTCTAAAGTGGATTTCTGACCCACTTCATCCCTGCCTGAGCGTGCTTTCAGAAGCAGTCCTCTCCCTTTAGAATTTGGCAAAAAGCACACTCATCTACACCTCTGGCAACAGGCTTGCCAACCATGGATCCAACTCCTCATAAACCAGCTCTAGCTCCAGTTCTACAATCCTGAAATCCTGCAGGCAGTCTTCTTAGCTCAAAAACCAGGCAGAAGAAGGTCTTTATCTGCTGAAACCAGCTGGTAGAGATAGGAAGAAGCATTTGCTCCTTCAGATGTACAGACATTTATACAACGATACCTGGATCATGAAGAATCAGATAAACTGTGATGGAAAGTAATAAAGTTGCAGCAAGCAACACCAAAGAAATAAAGATCTGCATATTGCCTGGAAAGTAATTCAAAATAATTGTGTTAAGGAGCTTGATTAGCTACAAGAGAAGAAAATTATACAACTCAGTAATATACAAAAAACAATATATGAACAAAATAATAAACTCAATAAACACAGAAATCATGAAAAAGAATCAAACAGAAATCTGCAGTTGATATATACAATGAATGATATGGAAAATGCAACAAAGAGTACCAGTAGCAGATGTGATTCAAGCAGAAGAAACACTTTGATAACTCAAAGACAGGTCAGTTGAAATTATAAATTCAGAGGAGTTAAAGGAAAAGGAATGACAAAAGACTCCAAGATGTAGGGAGCACAGTCAAGTAAATTAATATGTGCATTATGAAAGTCTCAGGAGAAAAGAAAGAAAAAGGAAGATACGTAGACATATACTCACATGAAACTCAAAAGTCCTCAAATAGCTTCAACCAAAAAAAGACTTCACATTTTAATCAAACCAATTTTGAAAACGAGAAAAGCAAATCATCACAGGTAAGAAGACACCCATAAGATCGTCAATGGACTTCTCAGCAGAAACTTTGCAGACCGAAAGAGAGTCAGATGATGTTTGAAGTGCTGAAAGAAAAAAATTACCAGGTAAAAATACTATACTTGGCAAAGCTGTCATTTATAAATCACAATCATAACTTAAATTAACTTAAAGGGGTGGCACTCAGAACTCAGATCATAAATATATGCTATTAATAACAGCTTTATGAGATCGTATGAGTC